GACATGTCACAGCAGAAAAAGCACAGTTGTGCTGATGATAGCTGCCTTTTGCTTAAGTTCTGATGCTGTACATGCTGATTCACTGTCAGGTGTTACTGAGACACTTAATGGAAATGAGTCATCCTCAATGTTTTTAGTTCCACTTGTGCTTTTCCTGCTGTGATAAGTCAAAAAGTCAACTGTGGAACAAGCTCTGTTACGAGACACCAAGCATTTTTTTTTTGTGGTGTTTGACTTTCCAAGTTATCAGTCATGTCACATACAGGTTCAGTCGATCAGATTCCTAACGGAGGGAGTCCCACCGCTAAGGCCCTGAGCCTGACTAGAATTGAAGTTCTGCTCCCTTTTGCCCAGGAGTCTCACGCCAGCCATGACTGTGAGCCGTCGGAGGCCCCTGGGCAGTGACCCCTTTGGCCCAGTCAGCAAGCAAGTGTGGCGATGTGGTTGAGACACAGCATAAAGGAGCAGAGCATCTTTTTATGCAACAGGGCACTCCATCATGTCACAGTTCACCTGTCATGAGGAATGTGACAGTCGGAGGAAACAGCTGTTTAATGATGATATCAACAAGCTGATCTCAGATTAGCTTTCACCAGGAGCAGTTTAAGATCTTGAAACTCTGTGAGCTGAGCCCAGCCTTGCAGTTTGGAGATTTAAACCTGATAATCGTGCCGTTTTCAAGTTATCCCATAATAAAAATGAATGTAAAATGTGAGACACTGCGCTCGAGGCACAGTGAGGTCATCCCACTTGTTTTTGTGCTCCATGCTCCACATTAGCATCACAGTGAGTGCAGGGGAACCACACCAGCGCTTCTCAAGCTGTGTGTCTAGAAATCAGTCTCAGCAACTCATAATAAAACAATAAAACGTGTTTTCATTGCTACTCTGCTGCCCGTTGCCACGCTTTGTTAGTTGCGTTAATGATTATAACGGTCATGTTCGAAACCTAGTTATGGAGAAACATCCATCACCACAATGATATCGCTGCTGCAGATATCCTGCTGTGAGACTGTGAAACAGAAATATCTCCGTGATTAAACGTCTGACATGGCGGAAAGATGTTTCGACTGTAGTAAACAGATCAGACTTTTACGGACAGTAAAATGATATCCTTTTGATCAACTATGTGATATTTTTGTGGGCTTTAACTCATGATCAGAGTAGAGTGTGGGCTCTTTAAAAAGAAAATCTTGCTTTTGTGAATAAAAACATTAGATTTGGGCCTGATGATTTGTTGGCCTTTGCTGGTTTGGTTTAGAATATTCTTCCAAGTTGAGTTTCCAGCTTTATGGAACTGCAAGAATAGAATAGAATAGAATAGAGTTTATTAGCACGGGTACATTACAGCACATTGAAATTCTTTGTGTGTTTCTTCAAGTCAGCTTTGTAAAAAAAAAAAAAAAAAAAAAAGAGGCAAAGAATAGCAAAAGAAAAGCTATACAAATATACACCATGAGAATAAAATAAGTACACTTTTTATAAATTAAAAAAATGAAAATAATGTGTAGGCATTGCAAATATTATAAGGTGAACAAGGACACTATTGCTCATGTTGGTTAATAAACCCCTTTGGATTCATTTTATGTGGTGTGTGATGGATAATATAGAAAATAACCATTTTTGCTAACTGTTGATCTTAAAGGATGTGATGCGTTCAAGTGCAGCAGAACCTGCTTCGGTGCCACTATATATAAACAGAGATGCTGTGTATTGCACCTGACTATCCTCCATTATGGTTTCCTGCTTCACAGTGGGGACAGAGTTGAGAGTGTGGAGCTGTAAGCAGATACACAGGAGCTGCTCTCACAGACTGACATTGGCTTTCAGTAGGTCCCTCCTCCTCTGCACAGCAGGAATGTGAAATGCACCTGAACTGGATCCCGCATGAGGAAGAATGACTGCGGGAAGTCGCCGACCCACCTGTTCCGGGACACAAGTTTCACAAATCAAAACCCATTCATTTCACTAATCTCCGTCAGCAGTGTAGAGAAGTTGAAACGAGCAGCAGCTGGTGAAGTTGGACAGCCATGGACGAGTGCTGCGTGTCTGCGGACGAGGCGGAGAGACTGAGGATCCACCGGGAGATAGAGAGACAACTTCGCCGCGACAAGAGAGAGTCTCACCGGGAGCTGAAGCTGCTGCTGTTAGGTGAGACTTCTCATGCTCACTCACTGGCGAGGTTTGGAAATGATTAACTAACAGCCTCCCAAAACACTGAAGACATTAATAAAACGTGAATATTGCCTTTTAAATCTAAACCATAAGAGGTTTACAGCCTACAGCTGTAAACACTTTAGCAGTGTGTTTTTTTTTTTTTTTTTAGATTTTCTATTCAGCGCAACAGAAACACATCTTCAAGTGAAAAGACCTTGCCGAGACGTAGAAATAATAATAAAAAAAAAATAGCCCGAGAGTTTTACAAATATTTAAATATATGAACAAAATATTATGATAACAGCACCTTTAAACTTGTTTCTAAATTGTGACTACATTCGCCGCCTATGTCTGGGCGTTCTTCTCAGAACTAAATGCTAATATTAGCATGCTAACGTGCAACAAGTAATATGCTAATGTTCGGTAGGATAATTAGCATAATAGTACAATAAATTAAAAGCAAATTTTATACATGAACAAAATATTTTGATAACAGAGTCTTTAAATTTGTTTCTAAATTATGACTACATTAGCAGACAAAGTCTGGGGGTGACATTTCCAGTCAGGGCTAAATGCTAGCATTACCATGCTAACATGCTAATTAATATGCTAATTAGCCAATTTTTGGGAGTGTAATTAGCATTTTGGTCCAATAATTTAGCCTTTGTACATTGTACAAGCAAGAAAGCTAAATTTTCCTACATGTACAATCATTTTTGTCACATCATATTTTTTTATGGTTTCTCCACAAGAGTAAAATGCTGCAGAGCTAATTAAAAAAGATCCTAATTGTTCTAATGAGCTAACAAAGGAAGTTATAAATTACAAAAAAAAAAGCCTCTTAAAAACTCTTGCTGTTTGTGTGATGCTGCTTATTTCTGCAAAGATCATAAAACCTTGTTTTGAAGTGGATATTTTCAAATGTGTTTTAATATACAAATATATTGCGTCTTTCTGTCTGAATTATAAAACTGCAGGTGTACAGTTAACCATGGCACAGACCTTCATGGCCTTTATCGAAATGCATTTTAAACTGAATTATTTGGTGTTTTCTTGTCTGGGTTTTACATTTATGATAGCATCCTTTGAAATACATAATTTTGGTTTCATATTTTCAGTCTAACATCATTTGATTTGTGTTGTCTAGATATTCAGGGCAGGTATTTGTTTACCACATTACCCAGCTCCGTTTAGGATGTTAATAGTGTGCTCACATTTGCTAGTTGGAGCTAAGCAAAAGTACAACTAAAGCTGATGGGAAAATCACATGTTGGACAAATTTAAGGTTAAAATTTAATCTTTTTGAAGATGGAAAAGTGAAGAAATATAATGTAGTTCAATCTGAAGGAAACCTGAATGTGCATACCCAGTTTCCTGGTAATGCAGCCAATAAATGTTGATTCATTTCCAGTGAAGAAGCCAGACAATTTTCATAAGGCTGGCCAGGTTGACACCATTATTCACACTGGGGTGGCACAGAAAACTGATATCCTGTTGGCAAATTGCTCTAGATAGTTAATTTGATTGAGTATGTGCATGGCTTTCCAACAGGCTGTGGGGTGGCCAGACTTTGGGCTTAGTGGCCACCCTGGGCCACCCCTTTCTTCTGCCACTGGGTACTTCACTCCTAGCACGAGATACTAAACTTCCAAAGTCATTAGGATTCATCCTTTAGACAGCATTAATGTTCGCACCAAATTTTACAACAGTCCATCAAATACTTGTTGGGACAAAACCAAAGCTTCCGTAATCCATCCAGAAGTTTTGGACATGTTTTGGCCCAAAGCAGTGAACTAAGAGATCGATAGAACAAACACTTGTCAGGAGTATCTGTGTGGACACACAAAGTAGTTATCAATGAAGGTATGTCATCGTCAAGGTTTGTTGACTCTGAGCAACTGAATTATTGTCTTTGGAAAGACTTCGAATGTGTAGTCTTTTTTTCTTTTTCTTTTCCCTTCAACCATGTGTCCTTGAGCTCTGATGCATCAGATAAGCTGACAAATCCAGGAAATAACAAAGGTATCTGGATCGATAGATACCAAGGCTTTAGTGTGTGTGTTTTCGCTGTGCGGTTCCTTTAACACAGTTACAGGTTAGCCTTTACATTCTTCAAATAGCTGGCGAAGCTTTGATGAGTCAGCTTGATAGCACTGCTAGTTTTCTTTGTCCTTGTTCTGATGAATCAAGGTATTCACACCCTCAGTGTAATGAGGCTGTCTGTGCTGCTTGGTTTAGATGTTTTACTGTTTATTAGTCTTTAATAATAATGCTTCTTTGTAAAAGTCGCTATATGATACCTGCAGCCTGTTGTTTTTATTGTTTTGTTGCTTTTTGTTTGAACAGCCGATGTGCAAAACAAGTGTCGGGTATGTGTGCAACTCATAAACTGACTGTAAATGTGTCGAACGTTACATTGCGACATTTTGACAATCGCGGTGATGAGACGAGGCCTGTTTTTCCCAGAAGTATCAAAACAGGCCACTTATAAAAGCTTGATTGTTGGTTAGCTTGGAAACAATGCATTAGGCATGAAGGACTTTGTTTAAAGGTCAGCACTACTTTAAACTTGAACTTGAGTTGTTTGGAGAACAATATCCTCCTGTAAAGGTCAGCCTAGTGGTTAACATTTTTAGCCGTTTTAGGTGCTTAGCTGACACTCTTATCGAGAGTAATTTACTACCAGAGGGCAGGAAGCGGTTCACTGTTTCAGTCAAGGACACGCGGCTGTTGATAGACACATTGAATGGCTTGAATACACTAACCTTCAGTGTCTCAACATGGTGTGCAATGCAGGAAAAAAACAATTCTTCTTTGTTTTCCATGCTTTTGTACAGTTAATGCAGAGTTGTTGAAATTAAGACAAGCAAATGAGAATACTGCTAAATGTATATATGATGTTCTATATTGCAGTAATAACATTAGTAATGGATGGTTGGCAGCGTGTGTGCACCTGGGAAAACCCAAGCATATGTACACCCACACAGTTCTAGACGGATGGTAAATGAAAGGAAAAACCAACATGAAGCGTCTTAGTAAAGTGTTGGGTTCATAATAAATCTCTGGAACTCTACTGGGGGGGATTGAACACCATTCTTTGTTCATTTGGTGTTTTGAGGATGGTGGTGGAGAGTGCTGTCTGTCACATCAGACCAAAATCTCCCCCGAGTGTGGAGTTGGGTTGAGATATGCTGACTTCAAAGGCCATCCCATATGATTCATGTCATTTTCATCAAACCAATCTGTGACCCCTCGAGCCATATGGGTGGGGGCGTTGTCATCCTGGAAGGGATCATTCCCATCAGGATAGAAACGTTTCATCATACGATAAAGGTGATCACTCAGAACATCTTTGGATTGATCTGCAGGCACTTTTTTCCTCTAAGGGGACAAGCGGACAGAAATCATGCCACCAAAGGGCCCCCGCAGCAAAACGGAGCCACCGGATACCCTCACTGCAGGGGACAGGGGTTCAGGTTTTTCCTACATCTCTGGCTTAAGGAAAAAAATGTATAACCCCGGAACCTTAACTTCTATTAATATTCCTACACTCCAAAGAATGCGTCCTTTTTGTTGTTGTTTTGTAGACAAAAATCCTGTTTAAGTGCAGCTGCTTGATGTCGAGATGTTTCTTTTAAAAATGCATGCCACTGATGTACTATTTCTGGCATTGCTTTGATCTTATGCCATTTTTCACCCTACGGTCTCATTCATCTCGTTCGTCTAGGGACCGGTGAGAGTGGGAAGAGCACTTTCATCAAACAGATGAGGATCATCCACGGCAGCGGATACAGTGAATCTGACAAGAAAAGTTTCACGCGCCTGGTGCTTCAGAACATCGTCACAGCCATCCAGGCGCTGATCCATGCCATGATGACTCTACGGATCGACTACATGGATAACCACAACATTGTGAGAAGCTGTGCATGCTTTTAAAAGAGACAATGCTGATGTCTTATGTAATATTTATAAGCTCAATGTGTCAGTAGCAGTCAATTTAACGCTTAACAAGAGCAGACATTTCCAAATTACCACTTAATCTACCATGCAGTTTAGTTCAAATAAACGATATTCAAATTGTTCCACTTTATGACAGAAGTCATCTCAGGACACTATACACAGTAAGGTGAGGACCTTCCAATATTATAGAAATGAACCCAACAATTCCCCATTGAGGCAGCACTTAGCAGGACTAGTAGGGAAAACTCCCATTTATGAGGAAGAAACCTCCAACAGAACCAGATTCAAGGTAGCTAGCCATCTGCCTCGACTGCCTGGGCTAAGAGGAGAGAAATGATGAGCCACAAAGATGAGACACAAAGTTAGCAGCTTGTAGTTGCATTTAAATTCATGGAGAGTAAAGGAAAAGAGAAACGGTGCTGAGGGCACCACTGGAGGTCCTATAGCAGCCTCGGCCTACAGATGCATTGCTAACTATGGTTAATGTTATTTGGTTTACTAATTAATATTTTTGAATAGATGATGGTGCCAGACGAAGAAGTTAAAGGAGCCCTATTATGCTTATTTTTGGCTCAATATTTTTATTCTGGGAAACAAAAGAACCTTCAAAAGTAAAAAAAAAGGACTAATTAACCTAAAACGGCCCAGCAGTTCATCCCGTGTAAAACGAAATGTTTTCAGCGTCTGTCTCTTTAAGACCCTCCTAAAAAAAAGCCCACTTCTTTCTGATTGGCCAATTTTTGGAAGCCTACACCCAGTGCTTGTGAGCAATACTATCTGCACTTTGTGGGCTTGGTGTGCCTGGAAATCCATGATGATCAACTTGTCACAATATTAAATAAACTGTTGAAACCAAGTATCAAGAGCTCTGTGACAGCTGAGCTTTTGACTCATATGGTTTACTTTTACTTATGTTTATCTCTCTGTTTAAAACTTTGGCCATATTTAATGTGAACATCTGAAAATCGGCACTTTGGCCACTTTATTAGGTCTACCCCAATCCACATCTTCTTTGTATACATTTTTATGGAAAATAAGGTTTTAACAAATACCAGATGGTGGAGCAACATGCCCACCTGCTAGCTAAAATTAGTTTCTGTAAACTATGTCCAGAAAAACCATCTCCTAGTATATAGATTTCTGCTGCAGTTCTCCTCCTCCTATATGTGTGTTCATAGTTCAAAGATTGAAAGTTTGTGTTTATTAACGTCCCTTGTGGATGTTTTGTGTGTGTGTCAGAGCCATGCAGCGAAGCTGAGCCAAGTAGATGCAACACTAGTGTCCACTTTAGAGTCCTGGCAGGTGGACGCCATTAAGAGAGTGTGGAGTGACCACGGAGTTCAGAAGTGCTACGACCGCAGGAGGGAGTTCCAGTTGTCAGATTCTGCCAAATAGTAAGACTTTTACATATTTTCTATCAGATGGCGGCACGCATGGATGCAGCGGCCCCTTCAGGAGACAGCAAGAGTGAACGTTTAGTGTCTTATCCCAGACGTTCATTCCGCAAAACGTACTAATTAAATGATCCTGAAGAAACGCTCTCTCATTTTGCCTGTACTACTGTGTATGTACAGCAAAATGACAATAAACCTGATTTGATTTGAGATATTATACTAAAACCTTAGGAACACCAAAGCTTTTACATTCACTTATCTTCTATCATTCATCTCAGTTTAATACTTATGCTGATAAAATGTATAAATTTGCAGATAATAAGTGCAGATTTCTGTATGATGGACCCTTTTTTAAACCCTAGATTTGTGTCAAGCTATTCACCAGGATGCTTTAATGTTTCAGCTACCTGAGCGACTTGGACCGAATCACAGCTATAGGATACATCCCCACCCTGCAGGACATCTTGAGGGTCAGGGTCCCCACCACGGGCATCATAGAGTACCCCTTTGACCTTTCAAAAGTGGTCTTCAGGTACGATGCTGCACCTCATTACCTGGGCGGCACACATATAAGGAAAACTGACAGATTTTCTGACTAAAACAACACATGAAGATAAACTGTATCCCTGATTTGGTTAATTAACTCACCATGTCTTTCTTTTTCGCTCATATTATGTCTATATTTTAAAAATGAGATAACCATGTTAATCAGTGAGCTTCGGAGGTGCTGATTGTCACACCAGCTGTTTCTTCTGATTCCAGAGTTTACGCTAAACTGGACTAAGCTCTAGATTTTTTTTTAGCAGATATGATGCTGGTATCAGTCTTTTCATCCAGCTCACAGCAAGAAAGATAATAAATGTATCTCCCCAAACACCAAACTATAGCTTCTGTAATCTAGAAATGTCACAGCCTCTGTCATGTCCCTTGTTTTTCCCTTGTTTCTTCGTGTTTGCTTTCTCCATGTCTCCTCTGCACCCTGCCTGTGTCTCTCTTTGTCTATGTAGGTTTTCCAGTCTCATGCCATTCTTTTTTTGTTGCTTCCTCTATTACTTTGGTAAATCACTTTCTTTGTGTGTCTTTGGTTGTTTCTCTTCCTGTGTTTTCCCACCTCTGTGACTGTCAGATTATTTTCACCTGAGTTTCCCTCCTTGTGTATTTATAGTCCAGGCCTTTCCCTTGTCAGTTGTAATTCATCTGTGTGAGTCCCTGAGTTCTGCTCCTGTGTACCTGACTTTTGTCCCTCGTGCCATCTTCTGCAATCTTGGGAGATGCCTTGTTTAGTCTTTGAACTTTTTGTTGTACTTTTAATCTTGCTTTAGTGTGATCCCCGTGCTTTTGTGGCCTTTCTGCCACGAGCAGCTCCGTGCATTTAGCTGCAGAGGCAGACAATGCATGAAAAAGTTTTTATGTTTCCTCCTGATTTGCTGCCAAGTCCGTTTTCCACTGCTGGTACAGCAGCTAATAGAACATTATTTAGACACTGATTCGTGTATAAGTATTTATCACAGAGAATAGTCAATTATGAACATTCATTTTACTTTGATTTGGCCAGAAACTAAAGTGATTTCCACATATCCTTTATTATGGGACAGTGTTAGACCTAAATGCACTTCTTGATTATCCTGTTTAAATGAATAAAGAGCTCTAAAGTGCAGCAGTGGCATTAGAAATAAGTGGCTGTATTGTGAGTGCACTGAGTGGTAAAATAAATATATTAACATACAACATTACCAATTTTCCACCAGCATTCCTCTGTTGTAGTATTTGCAGTAACAGTGTTTTTACTATAATACACTTTTATATTCCTCATAGCTCTCCATTATAACAGCCTGTTCCTCTTCAGCATAATGGGCAGCACGCCATCAGTCCTTAAGATGCGTCAAGTGCCTTCTTTTATGGAAGCTCGCACAGAGGCTGGATTAACAAAGAAAGTTGATAAACACCATCGTTATGGCCATTATCTCTGCTTGGAATTTTGGGTTGCTGGTTTACACAAAGAGCGCCGAACTATGTTGAGCCTGTTTTGCAGTACAGCCCTCTGTGTTTTTGTTTGCCCACTTGGACTTTAGGTCTTGTATCAGAAATGTTTTAAAAACCTGCCCTCTGTGTCCCGTGCTTGGGTCGTCCCCTGGCGCCCCACATAACAAGAAACTTGTTGTATTTTAATCATGTGTCTGTAGGATGGTGGATGTTGGTGGCCAGCGTTCAGAGAGGAAGAAATGGATCCACTGTTTTGAGAACGTCACCTCGATCATTTTCCTTGCAGCCCTCAGCGAGTACGACCAGGTCCTTTACGAGAGCGAGAATGATGTACGGTCAAAAGCAACATATGCACCATCAATAATTATTATTTTTTTTTTGTTCTCAAGGTTTACCAACAAAAAATATTAGCCTTTTATCAAAGAATGTTTCTATTTCCTTCTACAGAATCGGCTGAAGGAGAGCCTTGCCTTGTTCAAGACCATCCTGTCCTACTCGTGGTTTCAAGAGTCCTCCACCATCCTCTTTCTGAACAAAACAGACCTGCTACAAGAGAAAATCACACAGTCACATCTGGCTGACTACTTCCCAGAGTATACCGGTAAAACAGGAACTCTTTATGCTTTGCAATGGTTAGAACAACACTTGGGGCTTTGTCTGAAATTATATTTGAGTATCCATTGACAATAAGCGAATCTAATTTTGTAATCCGTTAATGTTTTCAGTTTTATTTGAAGCAACTTACGAAACATTCACTTGCTTCCTTTGTAGTACTTTGCAAATTTTTTCTGGTTCGTAAACTAGAACAAATTGAAGAGTTCATTCGCAAAAACAGATAACTCCATCTTCACAAACCTTCAGAGAACTCACTTTTCCATCGTCTACTTGAGACACTATCTATCATTAAGTTATCTCTATTTTTATCATGTCAAATCCACTCGGCTTCAGTTTGATTGATATTATCTCAAGCAAACAACAAAAAATAGATTTCTGAAAATCTACTAAAATGGAGTTATCTGTTTTTGCAAATGGACTCTTCAAATAACTACAGCAATTACATTTCTTTAGTTGTGATGACTCATTAAGTAGTCAGCAACTGTTTTGATAATTGACTAAACAGTTTGAGTAAGCGAGAAAATTTTAAAAAGAAATCTTTGGTTGTAGCTTTATACATATTTTCTGGTTTCTTTACTCCGATGACGGCAAACTGAAGATCTTTTGGTTGTAGACAACAGTACTTTGAGGATGTCATTTTAGGCTATTGGAAGCACAGATCTGTATTTTCACCATTTTATTACATTTTATAGACCAAACAACTAATTAATTAAATCCAAACAATAACCAGAGGAGTAACTGACAGTTGTGAAACTTACAAAACTCTTTGTTTTTGACAACAACCTCCAAGCAGCAACATGCCACACTAAAAAATATGAAGTTTTTAGAATTGGGATCATTCAGTCGTTGAGTCCATTTTAACTACAGTGCCTGTTTCCCTACATGAAAAGGTTCCACGAAACCAAAGCCGCCCATCACTATTTTCAGGAAACAGTGAAGCCGCATCCTTCGTGTAGCTCTGTCAAAGATGATTGTGATTGTTTTCAAGAAATACAAACAAACCCTAGCTTTGTTCTCCTGTGCAGCACAATGATGGTGAGACCATTACGTTCTAAGTAATAGGCTGGCTAAGCTTGACTAGGCCCAAGTTAACTATCTAAATATTCTAAATAGCTAAATATCATCAATCTCTCTCTGGATCTCCATCTATATTTTTAGGTATGAGATCCTGCTAACAACCCACAATATAACAATGTGTGAGGATTTACACATGTGTGAATGTTAAATTAATGCTCACTATAAAGTAAACTGTACGTGTGTCTTATATCAGGAGTAGCAAACTACTGACTTTGTGTATTTTCAGACACATCTTTTCTTAAATGATCACTCAGAATGTCAAGTCTTCAGCATCCAATGATTGCCTCTGATGTTGACACTTTCACCCACACAGGGCCTCAACGTGACGCTGAATCAGCAAAGAAGTTCATCTTGAAAATGTACGTGCAGCGGCACAGCGGGCGTCATAAACCTCTTTACACACACTACACCTGCGCCACGGACACGGAGAACATCCGGGTCGTCTTCAGAGCAGTCAGAGATACGCTCTTCAGAGATAACCTGGAAAAGTTCAACCTTGAATAACAGAGGTTGTCGGACAAAGTGGTGATTTCACCATCAGGAACAAGAAAACTGGTCACAATCACGTGTTGTAACACTTTGATGGACTTTTTATCTGTTATGTGCCGTCAGTTGCAGCTTGTCCAAACACATTAAAGAGAGTCAATCAGACAGCAGAGTCAGGTAAGGTGCTTTTATCGTGTTACTGTACCTGACAGTAAGTGCCATTTTTTTAGTTACAACATCACAGTTTATCATAAATTGTAAATTAGCATATTTTCTATTGCTACATGAGGGAAGCAGACAGCTGCAATGTCAGTTAATTGTAGGGCTGAGCTATTACATGCACATCCCGTATCACATTACTGTTTGACAGAGAGTCAGCAAATGGTATCGGACTGGTTTAACAAAGTGTTATCGCGCAAGAATGTAACTCATCCTGCCTTACAGCTCAGAGAGAAGAAGGTAAAAGAATATCCAGCAGAGAACCACACTGTCTGACTGGCTTTAGTTTATTTTTGCTAATGTTTTTATGTGTGCAAGAACCATGTAGCCCAGGGATACTCAACTTGATTTGCCCAGGGGCCACTTTTGCAAAATGACAGGAGGCCACGGGCCAGTTAATAAACAAATAATAATATTAATCAGATGAAATTAATAGACATCAAAAGACCCATAGCTCATATTTCATTGCAGCTAATGGGCATTATTGGACATTTAGTGTAAAAACAAAACATTTGAGTGTGAATCAATGTATTTTCATTGTGAATTAGAAAATGGCCAGCCGGCACCCTGTCATGGACCTGATTTGGTCTGTGAGCTTTAAGTTTAGTATCACTGATGTAGACTATGAAATGATTCTTTTTTACACTAATCTTCACTAAATATAGAAAATAAAACCACATGTAATTTGTGTTTTTGAACAACCTGAATTCAACTGATCCTTGATCTTTCTTGTCACTTTACACAGAACTTTTATTTTGCCATTAAAACAAGGTTTCTGTACAAAAATTAATGATCCATTTCATGTTATGCAATAGCAGCTGCATGATACTGATTAAACGAAGGCTGTTTTAGACGCCTTCCCTTTAGGTGTGGTCGCACTGATTGGCAGACTGTGGCTGCAACCTTTGCACCAAACAATGATCAAGAATGCGCGAAGGCTGGTCTCTGTCTTCCTGCCTAAAAGCTGGGACTGAACAGTGGTAAGTAAAAAGAGGAATTCAGTGAGGTTAGGCTTGTGCAGGGAACAATGCCTGTTTCCACAAGGAAGGAAAGACTGTCTAGGTACTATTGATTTTATCTGATTTGTGGCTATAGTTTGCTTGTTTAAGGGTTGAAAAGTTCAGGTCTAATGCAAAATATGAAGGACACATTAGAAGTAGCTTTCTAAACAGTGGAATGGTAAGCATGTTTGCTTTGGTTAAGTCACTATTTTCTTGCAGCATGTGGTAAAGCCTGTGAATATTATCTGCACATGAAGCTGGCAGTATTCTCGTTTGAGTGTTATTGCTCTCTCTTTTTTTTTTTTCTTCTCCCCCCCGAGGGCTAATAAAATCTTGTAGCTGCACAGCCAGGCTCACAAATCTACTGTCAGGCATTAATAGGAGTCCCACGCTTCTCGTGGGTAGTAATAACACAACGGCACCTACAGAGTTTATCCCCTCCAGTCGAAGATAATAATGACACACAAACACGCCCTCCTATATCCCCATTCAGTCGCACCGCCTGAGGAAGCTGCTGTGCAGAGAGCTGTTATAGCAGGTGATCGCCCTTATTTGGTAATGGCCCAGATCATGTGACCACAAAATGGTGGAAGCTGTGAGCTGTTTGTAAGCTGAGCATCTCCACCGAGGAGCTGGGAGCAGGAAACAGGCAGGGAACTTGGAAGTACATCCATGCTCTGAGACGCAGGAGGACAGAGATTCCCAAGCCCCAGCAGTGGTGAGTAGATGGCTTTTATTCGCTGATGATAAAAAGAAGAGAAAGAGGGATATGTTCTTTTTTCCCCTCACAGCAAGCAGACAGGAAGCAAGAGAGGGAGGGGCTGCTGTCATCAGCACTGTGCTGTGCTGTGGAAGTGGATGTGAGGCAGCTCAGCATCCTCCATGGAGGATACACATAACATGACGCTGGTTTTTATTATTCTGCGGTATAAAAGCGTGCATCAGTGTGTGTTTTATTTCTGTGTACACATACTGTAGACACACTGTGTATCGTCAGCATGACAGTCACCTCCACAGTACAGGAATCAACCATTCAGCGTTTCTCTGTTGCAGCTGCTAATGCAATCACATTTTCTCCTGTTCCAGATCGAGTCCACCGAGAAGGAACGAGGATGTTTCTTTTTCATGCGAATGAGCACACGTGACTCACTGTGAATTTGCATCTCTGCCCAATCTGTGCTCAGGCAAGCGTGCACTCATTCGATTTGAATCAGCACTAGAAAAAGGCAGCGAGGGGGGGAACGAGCTTGTCATGATGTAACAAGCTCTGTTCTCTTCCCCCCCCTCCCCTCCTCCAACACCACCACCTCCACCCACCACTCAACATCCTCCCCCTCCTCCACTTTGAATGGAAGGATTATTCACAGGGGAAGATGACCTTTAACCTCAAAATCTTTCTCATTTCCAGCATCCCTCCTCCCATTTTATCCCCCCCTACCATCTTACAAGCCTTGTCTTCACTCCCCCTGTTCCCTGATAACTATGTAAATTTGACAAGTCAGATCAATACATGTGTGAAGACACGCTGGTGTTTGGGGACTTCCTGTATTTATGCTTTCTAATATAGCCCGACTGATACTGGATATTTGATGCTGGTACTTTCGGGAGTAAAGAATCTAATAAAGGCCAACAGTAATTTCTTCAACATAAGCCACATAAAATAAACAATCTTGATATGGATCCTGTAGATTATTATTGTTTGTTTTTGTGCACAGATATGATAGATCTGCAATAAGCTATTGTCCAGTGTTAAATGAAAGCCTTTTTTTGTCAGTCATTGTAAACTCATTGTTTCTTTCTGACCAGCAGCCTTTTATTCACACGTGTGTCTGGCTCTCTGTGATGCAACCAGAATATTTGCATTACAATGTGAGATATAATTAATCTTATTATACAGTGCAAGTACATGGAAAATAGTAACATCTGTCAAGTTATCAGGTTATAGTAACTTTTTGTTTACTGAGTGAACCGCAGTACCTAAACCCAACAATAGGATTCTTTTATTTACTGTTTGATCTGGTTTTCATGTAACGACACAATAACATGTAACAGTAGTAGTATTGCAATATATTACAAGTGAAATCCAGGCACTTAAGGAAATTATAATAGTATGATTACCTTTTTATTATAATGAAAAGGTAACGACAATGTAAAGTGTGGTGTTTTCAATAATATAATATTGGTGATGCATTAAGATTAGCAAGCAACAATTAAGTGTTGTTGGTTGGCTCTAGTTTGAATTATTTCATCAGTTATTATACAGTAATGCATTATATTTTTCATTAAACTCTGGAGTAAAAGTATAAAAGAGCATGAAATGAAAATACTCGGATTCCCTCAGATTTAGCACCAGAGTAAATGTGCTTAGTAACTGTCCGCCACTGGCAGTTTTTAAGTCTGGCAAGCACAACAGATTACTCAACAGTCTGGTTACTCTCCAGGTGTGTTGTTTTATCACAAGAGTCCATTTAATGACTGTAATTATCTTCTTATAGGTCCTCCTGGGGATGGACCTGCCATCAGAGAGTAAAATGAACTCTGAGGGGGGCGAAGGCCGACCAGGTGCGTGTTAAGCACCAAATGCTCGAAATTATAACGACCACTGTGGCTCAAATAATTAACAGTTTTTGCTTTTCTCCAGTCCCTCCTACCTCTCTACCACTGCAAGGAGGTGCCACCCAGAGAAAAAAGCTATCTGCCCCTCGTATCAGCCTGTCACTGGACCAGAGCGAGGACGACTTGGGCGAGACGCCTGATGATCTCGACATTAACGTCGATGACCTCGACACTCCAGATGAAGGCGATTACCTCGACTACACAGACCATGAAATGGACTGGGAAGGTGGGTCAGTCAGAATAGGAGCTCTGGCAGTTTGACAACCTCATATATCTGAACCATGATGACGACGAGGAATGCAAGATGTAGTATAATATGAAAATTAAAAAGTAATATTCTTGGGTTTCAGGTGTTAAGATTTTTTAATCACAGGGACATTGTAGCTTTAGATTTTTTGAAACACTGAGGCTTCCTTGGATTTAAGCCTTTTATTCTAGGTAAGATAATTTATTGTGTTACTGTGGAAAAACCGAGGTATTGATAATTTAAAAAAAATAAAATGGCAGAGTTCCATTTAGCTGCTTCGGTTTCAGCGACCTGTTCCATGCTGGCTCATTGCCAGGACTTGCTGGGAAACAGAGCTGAGACGACATGAATAATTTTTATATTTGATTAAAAACAGGCCTATAATGTAATTAAGTGTATTTGGTCATTTTCCTATCAGACCCCACTGCAGCCAGCAGGAGTGGGACAAGTGAGCCCTACAATGCAATCCCGACGTACAGCGCCGAGGAGGAGCGCCAGGACGGCAAGCTATGGAGGACCGTCATCATTGGGGAGCAGGAGCACCGCATCAACATGAAGATCATTGAGCCCTACATGCGAGTCATCTCCCATGGAGGTGATTATCAAAGACCCACTTCACCATCATGACTCACCATGTTATGTCCATCCTGAACATGAGCTGTATTTCCTGAGAAAAATATTTTTCAAATACACACAATCCCCACTCAGAAAATACCATTACTATTTTCACTTTTCAGTTAAAGGGTATGCTAATATTTTTTCAAATGTGTCTTAAACCTGTCCTGAGTTCCCTTTAGTATTACTGTGTACACAATGCAGTGTATGCAAATTAGCACCTGAGGTGAACATAGGGCTTTCCCTTGCCCTCGGTTTCGCCTCACTGGCAAGACGCAGACTGGAATCTTGACAGGCAGGTTGCTGAGGCTTTGTGGATGCTAAGACATACACCCAGAGACACTAGCTCAGGAATCCCTTTGCATTTTTGGCTAAAATAAATTATTTAAAATGCATAACTTTTCATTTCTGGGCAATGTGTACAAACTAGCTGCTGGCACTTTTACACTGAAGCAGTTTAAGGGAATCTATTATGCTTTTCTTTATTTTTTGTTATATGTTTATATAATGTTGGTCTTCAGTGAAAAAAAGAAAAAACTTAATCATAAATTTGAAAAAAGAGTTTGTGGTGATCTGGTTTTGTTTTGGATTTCTTCTACTCAGTTTATTACAGCAAAGCTCTAAGTAGCATATGCTGCCGCCTTTGAGGACACTCTGTAGCGTAGTTTATTATTCACATTTTCTTGACACTTATATTGAAACGTGATGTCACCAGTAATATTAAACATGGTCAGAGTAAGGTAATCTCTGTGAGCCAGCAGCTCAGGCTTTAGGCTGCTCTAAACGTTTTTAATGTTTGTTTTGTTTCATGATGAGCTGACTTTGGCTCGTCACCAATTTCTTTAAGCTGTCATTATCCAGGCACAGCACACCTCCAGAGGCAACACTCAAAAGTACTGGGTGCTGACC